TCATGTCGTGTAAAACAGATAAACAAACGCCTAAAAGACCCACACGGGCTATAGCACATAGCCAGTGTTACATTTCAATGATGTAGAGACGTCACTGAACCACATAAAAGTCATTGCCTGTCGTATTATCTGAAAGGAAAAGAATATTTTCCAGCTCTTGTCCGTCTTAGTAAGAAACCAGTTCCGACATCTCTTCTCAATACGCCACTTTCAAGATAATACATTATGAGCATTGCACAAATAAATAAACCAAAATCTTCCCTCGTTATACAACATTCGTTTTGACATGAACGAATATATGGATGTATCATCATTTCATAACGTCTCATTTTTACTGACAGTACGATGGTCCTTGTGGTATTTTTCGCCTTGTTCCTGGGGACATTCCAAATTCCTATTCCAGTTTATACGAGAACGAAACGGTGCCCACAGAACGTTATCCTTTGTTCCAGCTAGCTCCGGTGAGTTGTTTGTTTTACTTTCACACCAGCTTTACAATGTCAGAAGGGAACTTAGTTGGATTCTGTCATAAATTTGACGTTTTAGTTTTTTACACTACTATCTCAGATGACAAACTTAAGTAAACGTCTTCATCCCTTGATTCGTGTGTATTTGGTTTCCAAAAGTTGTGACCATCTTCAGAGTTTAAGACCAAATGCCATCTGCAGGTTATTTAGTAACCAGTATCTGAAATGTTGGCCATATTCGTCGATAATAATTATGAAAAATTCGGGTAAGGCATTTAGACAGGAAGTATACATTCCCATGGGCAAGCGAGGTAGTTAATATATTTTACTCACGCTTCGCGTATGTAGATGATCTGATGTCGTCCAATAACCGTCAAATATCCCACTCTTTGACACTGATCTACACACCTGAACTGGGAATAGGGGAGGCCAGTGAGACAGCTTCGTTTGTTTCACATTTAGACTTAAGCACGGAGATTCAGATTGACAAAGTTCTCTCCACTATAGTATCTGACAAAGGGAGGAGTTGAACTTGTCGAGCAATATAACAGATGCTCCAGCCATTATGGTTCACATTTCACAACGTTTGCGGTGCAATCTTACATCCTCTTCCTGCAAAGATTTCAAATGCACCATGGAACTCTTGCTCTGTACCTGTTTGATCAAGGTTACGACATTCCGCCCCTCAATAAAGCTTCCTAAAACCATTAGTGGCAGACATGTGGATGACATTTCTAAATTGACGCACCAGTGACAAAAATTATGTCCAATGCCAATCCCAAAATAGATTTGTACCATTTATAAACATGTTGGTGCAGATGAACAAGTAACTTGTCTTAGTATAGGTTTTGTAACGGGAGCCACCGCGTCGGCAGTATACTCTCTTGCGAAAGCATGGTATTATCGCTACTTAATAGTAAACACCTGTATGTGATGTACCTGGATACAACATGCAAATAGTCGCGTTTAACGCATGGTCAGCAGGTATTGGCAGTGTCACTGTGATGACATTGACACCCGCAGTTTTGATCTGACAACAAATGGAAATCCACTGAACATAATTGAAAACGCGACACCTGTAAATTTTGAAATATGGTAATAGGATTGTTTTGAGAGTGAAAATGAACGTTGGAAATGTTGTTAATAACACAAAAAACAATAAATAATTCTGTACAGTAAAGAAGGGATTGCCGAACACATCACATGATAACAACAAAATTCATGCACAACATACACGAAAAGCACAAATTGCATGCGTAAAACATGCTGATTAGGGGTATTAATGACCGTCAGCAAAAAACCGTTCTCATTTTAGATGTACCTCCGCACGTAAAGTTTATTTTGCAATGCCAAGATTGTCACCAGAGGAACGAGAACGGGTGTTGGGCATGTTGCAGGATTGCACATCAAGCAGGAGTATTGCCAGACGATTTGGTTGCCATCATTCCACCATCATAAGACTTTGTTACCACCCCTCGCCAAGATCGAGACATTGTTCGGCGCCATATTCGGGATAGTACTTTGCCGGCTGCCAGAACCGCCAACGCTGTCCAAGGCCGACGTAGTTTGATCAGTGCTTCCACCGTCCGACGCCGTCTTCGTGCGGCAGGTTTACGGTGTCGACGCCCTCATGTTGGACCCATCCTGACTGATAGACATCGCCGTAAACGCCGACGATGGGTTGAACAGCATCTTTTGTGGTTGTTACGACGTTGGCATGGTGTTGTGTTCTCCGACGAGTCACGTTTTCACTTGGACTGACTGACTGAGTTTGGTTTTACGCCGCTTTTAGCAATATTCCAGCAACATCACGGCGGGGGACACCAGAAATGGGCTTCACACATTGTACCCATGTGGGGATTCGAACCCGGGTCTTCGGCGTGACGAGCCAACGCTTTAACCACTAGGCTACCCCACCGCCCCTTTTTCACTTGGAGACGTTGCACAGCTTGTGTTGCTGCTAACGGTGGTCATACACGTTACTGACTTCCAAATTTGACTCTTTCTTTCCAATCTTTCTTTCATGGTCAGCTGAATTAAAACTTCACTGTTTTGCTGGATTGGTTCTTGTTTCTTTTCTTTACCAATCATTGGACTACAAAAGTATGTAAAATTTACACCGATTGCTCATTTATGCTCTTGGAAACTAATACAGGTGGCGCGTTTTCAATGATGTTCAGTATATATTACAATAATATGATTGTAATTGAACATCCTTAAAGGTTCTGCTTTCCTTCGTCGTCATGTTGACCCTCTGTTGCGTGCTGACAAAACAGGCGTGTTTCCTAGCAACAGCACAGACCCTGGTTTCCAGGCCAGGACAGATTCAAGACTCCATGTCGTGAAGGATGCCCCGTGGTTTTACTTCCCATACCCAGGTACAGGTCTCACAAGTAAATGCAGAAACATCCGTTATCAGTTTCACCGTAAAGTATATGAGTCATCGAAATGTCAGCAACAAGACATAAATGATTCTTTGTTCATCCATTTCGTAATCATTTAAAGGTCATCACGTCTACTGTCCAATGTGGTACACTATACAGTTAGAAGGAATGGTTGTTCAGCGTCTGGTAATCTAAAATATTGACTTAGAGCCTCAAGCTAAACGTGTCAAAATGTACATGTCACATTCTACAGAATTAAAGACCCTTTGTCGTTTGTTTGTCTCACTCAAAATGTTAGTTTCTGTTTACATTTCGTTTTCCAGAACAACATTGAGCCTTGGTTCTACATTGTTCCTTAGTGGAAGGTCTGAGGCATCTCATTTATGTAATGTTAGACAACAAAATGACGAGTAATCTGACTGATTTTGGGTTGTTGCTTGTGCTAGGATACACTAGATTATCTGCCCACATGAGATAACGACACACTTTCACTTCTTCATACTACAGGCCACTTGGGTTGGCCCACTATCAGTGCTGCCGGATATGTGGGGATGTTGGCAGCTACCATCGCCTCCATCATAGAGAGTCTGTCGGAGACTACTTTGCTGCTGCCCGTGCCTGCGCCGTCCCTCCTCCCCCCTCGCATGCAGTAAATAGGGGGATTATGATGGAGGGGCTTGGATGCCTGATAGCCGGCAGTGTTGGTGCTGTGCATGGGATAACATCTTACAGCGAAAACATTGGAGCGTTAGTTGTAACCAAGGTCTGTGAAGCTAAATATCTCACAATTCATATATTATTGATAGATGCAATTATAGTCGAAATAGATTAGACACGTGTATGGGAAATATCTGTATCCCTTGAAATATAACCAGTCATGGAATTTCGAGATGGGACTGAAATTGTCTGAGCCGTTATGAAACTATGAAGAACTGCTTGATTGTGTTGCTAGTTGTTACGTATTAATAATTAATTATTTCTGGGGCCTACGTTCCTCTGCCAACGACGCCTGGATCCCTGGTGTGAAAAACGTTCTCAAATGATGTTAAAGGTCCTTACACTGCATATATGACATGATCATCATTTGCCTAATACTTGTCAGACAGTGAGTCAACTATGAAATCTGGTTACGGTCTGACAGTGTCAAATCTGGTAAAGATAAAGGATGTTCGGTGCGTTCATGGGGTGATGATTACTAATCATTCAATCAGATCAGCTTGGTCTGCTTCAAAACAATATACGGGGCGGTGGGGTAGCCAAGTGGGTAAAGCGTTCGCTCGTCACGCCGAAGACCCGGGTTCGATTCCCTACATGGGTACAATGTGTGAAGCCCATTTCTGGTGTCCCCCGCCGTGATGTTGCTGGAATATTGCTAAAAGCCGCGTAAAACCAAACTCGCTCAAAACAATATACATTCTCACCAGCGATTATGAACCTTGAGCGTTTGTGGTGGGAAGTCGAAAGCCATTGGAACAAGCCTGCTGAAACCTGTCATATCTCGCACAGACCACATGAAGGAGGTCTGTAAACAGACCAGACAATACAGTGATTGACATCAGGAGCGTCAATCTACACAACTTGGATCAACCGAAACAGCGAGTCTCACCACCAGAGGCGTATGTTGCTGAAGGGCTGAAGTTATTATGCCTGTTATAATTGTTTATCAAACCGTCCTCCAGCTAAATGTTTCAACTTCTGTTATTTACTGAGTTTGTTGCACAACTGACGAGCTTTTGACTTCTTCCAGGTTGCAAGCAGGTCTGTCGTCATCACGGCAGGTGTCATGCTGACTGTGTGTGGCATGCTGGGTAAATTCGGTGCTGTGGTCAGCCCTCATTCCTACTCCAGTGATTGGTGGCGTGGCCCTAGTGACATTCGGAATGGTGGTCGCTGTCGGTCTGTCTACTCTGCAGTTTGTGGATTTGTCTTCATCGCGGAACCTCATGGTGCTTGGTCTGGCGTTGATGTTAGGGATGATACTACCTCAGTGGGCGAAAAACAACCCCAAAGCTATTGACACAGGTTCGTGTCCTTGAATAGCTGTTTATCGACTATCATCTCGGCAAAAAAAATCATAGACTCGTGAAGTAAGGGGTACGCAACATTTTGAAAAATTTCGGAAGAAAATTTTAAAACATGTTATTGCTACTGGAAAGTAAGGATGCATTAAAGTTGTGCCTTGTTTTACTAAACTGAGACTGTTTATTTGAGCAGCTTGTCTTGTTAGCTGGTACTATTAGGACTCCAGGCTACAACGAAAAAGGGCAAAGCACAAACAAAATACTCTCCTTGAACAGGGATTTAACCGTATCCTTGTTTGTGGAAATATCGCAAACCAAAGAACTCGCTTATTTGTCATGGCTAGGAAAATCCAGGCAGTGTGGCGTGAGTTAGGATCCGATTGTATTTGTTGCAGGCATCAACATTTGCCATCTAATTGTAGGTAATGAAGAATTGACCCACATCTTGAAGGTCCTTCTTGGAACTCCCATGCTGGTGGGCGGCATGGTTGGGTGCATCCTCGACAACATAGCTCCAGGTAAACTGTAACACCATCAGGAGAAGATATTGCAACTTTCTTTCTGTACAGTTAATATTTTCGTTCACCGGTCTCCCAATTAATGTAGTGATAGTAAGTGGTAGTGAGTGAGTTTAGTTTTACGCCGCTTTTCGTAATATTTCACCAGTATCACGGAGCAATGAGCTTCACACATTGTGCCCATGTCGGGAATCGAACCCGGATCTTCAGCGTGACGAGCGAACGCTTTAACCACTAGGCTACTCCACCGCCCCGATAATAAGCGGTAGACATACGTTGCATACCCTGGGCTTTTGCAATGACACATATTTCTATTGTTCAGCAAATTGAACAGCCCAACATATGTTTCAAAGTGATTTGGATTAATTTACAACATGGAGTTATTTCCCTACGGTTTGTAGATCATTTTTTGTTGGTATTGCTTTGTATTGTATTGCTGGTATTGTAATTCTTATTGCTTTAAATACTTGAGACAATGGAGCAGCTGGCCTTGGATGTGTGTTAACCAAGGATGTCTTATTCCAAAACCAAAGACGAGAGGGAAGTGCTAATATAATAAAATACGTATTCTTGTAACTAAGCAGTTTGTTTGGCCCAGGAACTGCAGGAGAGTGGGGATACTGAGGTAAAGTATTCCTGTAACTATGCATTTTTTAACTTCCAGGAACTGCAGAAGAGAGGGGGATGCTGAAATGGAGGAAGGGAGAGGGCAAGGGAAATATGCCAGTTTCATGTGGTGACACCTCCACATACAATCTGACATTCATTACAAAGTACCTTCCAGAAGGTCTCAGGTGCAGCTGGTTCCCAGTGTCCCCAGCCTACAAAGAAGGGTGCCGTGGTGGACATGGAAGAAGACCTCAAATGATTGGACTCAATGCTGACACTAGTTGCCTCAGACCTCAGTGATGACAACACGCACAGCTGCAGTAATCCCATGGAACTTGTCATTAGTACCTGTATGTCAGTATACATCACGTCGGTGCAACTGTAGTTATATAGATTTGTATTTATTAAAAGCAAGTGTATATTGAGTTGTTCTGCTCAAAATGGGCATTTCTCTCCGGAGTTTAGGTGAGGGCACATGTGTTCTTGTTACTATATTTCGAGAATGGCCTTAAAGTGTCTAGAACAGTTTGACTAATCCACCTCGGGATAGAACCTTCCAGAAGATAGTCTCAAAATCACATCAACCCCAGTAGTCTGATATCATACGCCTGGATATCTGGCCTAGGCCGGTTTAGGAAACTTGAACACTATTACTACAAGGTAATTATTAATATCACCGACTTAATGGCAATCACCAACGCTATATATTAACTAGTTGACGATATACTGCCTTTGTAAATTGACTGCCATTGAATTCTACCCTGCCACGCTGTGAAGCTGTGGAATGTCATTGCCATTATTTTGTGGTAATTATTGTCAATACTTTGCAGTAATGTATATTAACTTATAAACCTAGGTAATTGTAAATAATAATTGTATAATATGGCATTTCTTGTTCGTTGGCTTCACAGCAAATTCAACCGGCTCAGTTGTTCATATACTAAGGTCTGAACACTCAGTCAGTCACTTGGTTTCATTATCTGTGAAAATCTAACGCTCTGGTATGTACAATCGAATTGCAAAGACAGCCTCTGTGTGTTTGTTTGCCTAGATTTTAAGGGGGATGCCCTGGTAAGGGTTTGTTCTGGTAAGGTAGGGGGTCATCAATTTCGTACACATGTACTAGGGGGGATCAGCAATTATGTCCATAAATAACAGGCCTGCCATACAAACGGTAAACAAATAATCAAAACTGAACTCATATACACCAAAACAGAACACAAATCACCAAAATAGGAGAATAAACTTCCAAAACTGCAAGAAAATCCTCTAAAACCGATACAATACATCTGTAATGGAAACTAATCGTTTGAAATGGAAACAAAACTCGCGTATCAGCTACAAAGGCGCGCGAGAACGGTCGCCGAGCGTACAAAACGGCATTCATAGCATCCCAACACGGCAGTCATAGCATCCCGAAACGGCATACAAATCGTCAAAGATGGCGGCGAGGGGAGACGAATAGTCTTTGGTACATAATGTCTTTCGTCACTATGATAATCTAATCTTGAAAATTTGATATCGGGATGTAGCGCATCAACCCCCTATTGTAGTAAGCTTCAAACGTATGTCCATACTTCTCGATGTACGGGGGTTCGATTATTTAGTCAAGCGGGTTAAGTCAGCATATACCTCATTCAGCACGGACTGAATACAACATGAGTTAATTAGTGTAAATCTCTGGGCGACCCGTGAAAATTTGGTTTAGAGTTGGGTCGACAGCACCTATGGACAGACTCCGTCGGATTGCCAGAGTACTGCTGCTCGTGTTGTGAACAGTATCTCAGGGCAGCCCAGATAAAAAACCATAAAATACGTAAAACGCATTATAAAATACAATATTACCAAGGTGTAGAACTGACGAGAGGTGGGTAACTGGTAAGATGTGCACTAATGTGGCAAACTTGCGAGACGTCCTGGTTTGGAAACCTATATCCCGTGTGGAAAAAGGGGGTGGACTGTTTATATGTCCGTGTGGCATATATAGTCATTTAGAGTGATTTTGCCCGTGTTTGGAGCCAATCCTTTCACGTTCATATTTCATTATCTAAAGTATGTTTTCATTAACCATAGCTACGGAGCTTCTCCAAACTTCAATATAACTTACTGTATGTATGGATAAAATGATGACGTGAAAAACAATCATTTTGTTTTTGCTTAAACAAAAAGCTGAAAGGTAAATTACCGTTTGCTGCAGTTTAGATTCAACAAAGTATGTATGCTATAAACGTTTATTCATCGTCCATGTTCCTGCTAATCATACATGCAGTTCAAAAGAGCGACTGTTGAAAATGTGTACATATTGCATATATGTTTTAGGTCACATATAGGTTTACTGTAAATACTTAGTGTGCAGCACACTTCTAATACAGGTTTTGATGTAAATGTGGATAGTGCTACACACGTCTCATTAATGTTTTATTTCAATATTGCTAGTGCAACACTGGTCTTATTTAGGTTAGGTGCTTGTGCGGAAACAAGACTGCGTGGTACAGGATACCTTTGTACGGTAAAGATGAATGTCTTACCTGCAGGGCTTCAGGGTGATGGACTGTGGGGGAAGTTCCGTCAGTGTTTCGATTGTTCGACAAACAGCCCAGCTCAATTTTCCACACTGGTTACACATTTCCAAACTAGGTCACTCCAAGTCAGCTGAGCACACATTAGGAACCATCTGCTTGCAAAGCCAGACTCTCCTCACCGAGCGCAGTAAGCTAGATGTACTCTCACAAATTATTGCATATCCAATATTCTAGCACGACATTGTGTGATACTCAATTCTGATTGGCTGAGAGCTCATCAAAACCGTACTTAAATGGCAGTTTAAGACCGGTAATTAAAGTGACCGATTCACCGCGTATGACTACAACGAACGCGTTGACCCTATTGTTTGTAAACAATTCTACCATGACTTCTGTAAACACTGGATTGTGATTGGTTAATTAAAGTCATTCAGAGGTATATAATCACGTTATACAGGTCTCTGATTTTCCGTGCGCAATCATACATGGTTTACGGTAATGCACTATTTTTGTCTGCCCACCAACATGGCGGACACCAAACAACCTACCGATGCATCGATAAATTACGGCGATTTTGCTGTCGGAAATTACACATATGTCTTTAAAGATGGATTTAGCGATGACGGGCTCGACTCACTACTTGCGTAAATCACAGCAATAGGTGTTTATACATACAAAAGTACTTCGAAAGCATGGAAACGAATATTCAGTCGAACAAGATCATAACATCGTCTGCTTTCCGAATAAAAATTCAGCAAAAACAAATATGTTTACGTTGATTCTATGTTGTGTCAGAATAGATCCAGCAATAGACTGCTACATAATTTCCGTGTTAAATTTATTATCAGCTTTCGTCAACGATATCGCCACTGATCTTGATCCGGTAACGGAGGATGCATTAACATCGAACGCCGAAGAAATTTTAATGCCTTCCGTCCACATAAATAAACAGTTGGGTTATCAATTCAAAAAAATGATATTTTGAAATTTGTACTGTTTCAAATTTAGCGGTAGTAAAACACAATTACAGAATCTGCAAACCGTTCTGTTTAGCCCAACATATTTTTTTTCTAAAAGTAGAATATCGTTGAAAAAGTTATTTAGCTTAGTCATGATCACTCTTATCCCTTACACTGCTTGATCTAAAGTAGTCTTTTAAAGCATAATTAATTATCTTACCGTGTTTATGCCAGAGGTACACCCTCGTGTCCTGATCCATCCTTTCGGAAATATCACCACAAGTCTGGCTCTTTGTCAACAGACTCGCGAACATGCCAGCGAATCCGATTCAATTTGAATTCACTACACTTTGAAGCCACTAGGTCACAAAACACTTTCCAAAATGTAGAAAATAATATCCGTAGAATCGAATTTAAGCACAAAGTACACACATGAGTGTGCAAGAGTCACCACAGCTGTCGCACGCAGACGTAGAGGTGCGTGAAATCGTCAAGTTGACTCGGCGCAAAATTCAACAGTATCTAAATTCGGTACAACACGGACTTCTCGTTACAGCAAAAGCGCCTCTACTCTTAAATTTTGTACCAGTACCAGTAATTAGATATCAAAGACTATCTCAGTCATACAATCAGGTTAACCTTGCGCAAACTGTCAGAGGCTCTCCTGTCGCATCTTTCCAAATTTGCACGTAAATGTAAACAATGACTTCCGAGAAAAGGTCAAGGCCATGAGGTTGCTGCCATTATTCTGGTGGGGAAAGGGTCTACGGTGGAATTTTCATATGTGAACCAAGCTTTTAAAACTTATTTGGTATATGTTTTCCAACTTATCAGTTAATGATTGGTGATTGATGCATTGAAAAAACAAAACGTGATTTGTTATTACTGAATCTGAAGTTTGTTAGTCATTGACGGTTTGCCACCAATCACCCCGTTTAGGGCGATGCCACTTGAGATTGGAATGCGAGGCCGCTTCACGTATTGACTCGTAACCAAAGAAAAGAGTTCCACCTGAAATTGTTCATAAAATTGTCATGGTAGAATGGAGATAAACCTACTGTGTTGGAAAATCAGAGGTATATAACGAAATTATAATGGCTCTAAATTGTCCATTTAAAACCTCACGCTACGCGTTCGGTTTTAAATGAAATTTAGAGCTATTATAATTTCGTTATATACCTCTGATTTTCCAACACTGTAGGTTTATCTCCTAAACATGTCGGACATCGGCAATTTCTATCTCGGCAGCTTCTTTGGTGTTTTTGAAGTAAAAAGCGAATGGTTTGAAGAAGAATTTCTTGACCCTAATCCCAGTGAAGAAACTACGAAGCTGGAAAATCCGTCAGCAGCGCAAAAGCGGCAGTATATTTAAACCGGGTCCAGATCTACGTGTGTTGACGTTGACAACACACGTCGGCCCACACATCCCAACCTGACCGCTTCCGTCCCGGCCGTAATACCCAGTCCTACCACTTCCACTGTCCATGTATCCCACATAAAACGTGTCATGTCAGGTCCTTTCCAAATTGGGAATAGTAAGGTGGTTATCAACAATTTTTTCCGTGAATAAAAACAGCGGCGACTAAACTTAGCGAGTTCACGGCTTGAATTTGGGCGAGTCGATTGTCATACAGTAGGGGGATCAATAATTCGCTTGAGAAAAATCAAATAATTTACTTGCTCACAGTATAAACTGTATTTTTTTAAATTTATGTACGCTACTTGTTACAAAATACAAGCATACTGGTTCCTGAAATAAAGCATTTATCTTGTTGAAAATGTCTTATTTTGTTCATGACACAACCTGTCCCTCAACGGGACGATTCCAAGCGATTTCCAGGAAAAAGGCCCCCTCGCGGCTTGTGTTCTTGTGCGCCAAACAGTTCGGTTTTAAAACGCTTATCAGTCGTG